ATATTGTTGTCCGTTATTAAGATAAGTTCAAAGATTTATTACGATAATCTGTTTACCGAACCCGCTTCGAAAAATAGTGCGTGTATCTTAGACGAGTGAAGCGTTGTCCCAGTGTTATCATTGCTTGAGCATTTTCCATTCGGAATTTCCCACATGACGCACCGCTTCACAACTGATTCTCTTGTGGTGATTCTCTACCAAAACTTAAACAGCATTGGATTCAGAACTTATCGGCCTCCTATGGTGGGACGAAAATCACAGGACCGATCGGGTTCATTGATCGATCGATCGAATGCTTCAGCCGCAACAAGAGACCTGATGCTTGCCCAGTTAACCCGATCGAGAAACCACACCGTTTTTACAGCTGTGAGTCTCAGGCGGGTCCAGTGAACTTCGACTGTGCAACAGGGGTGTCATCAGCGCACGAATGGACTATACGCTACAACAAGAGCATCCCGAAAAGCATAAGGCAATGTGACATGACGGAGCGATCGCATTATCGTACTATCCACATAGGAAGATGACATCCTAAATTAATACTTGGACATCTTAAATTCATATCGTGACATCTTGAATTGATTTTCGGACATCTTAAATTGAAAAAAGTATAGAGTAGAATTGCTAGCCACCACTATGGCCACAGGTTGCTCAGTTGATCATATAAGTACATAAACTGTAAAATGAGCTGGGCCGGGTGTCTGAAGGGCGAATTGACGAAGCGAATAGGCTTGGCGTGATTGGACTGAGACACTGCGCGTAGCCCGTAACGAATCATCGCCACACCGAGTGGGTTTTGCGAGGTTTGTCTGTCTTTTTCTTTTATGATTGACCCATCATCTTCAGATGGAAATGAACGAACGCCGAAGCAATGGACCTCGGTCAGTCTGGTTAGAAACGAGACATACTGAACTGACTGACGGTAAACTCGCCGGTGGGGATATGAACAGTTGGATGGGCTGTTTCCGCCTAGCTCCCCAGTGGGTTGTGGCGTAAAATCGCACTGAGGTGATGACTGTCTCGAAAGTCACTATTTTTTGTCTCTAGAGCACATTTTCCAGTATTGACTGCCCAATTTAGCAAATAGCCAAATAATGAATCCCTAAGACAACACAAGAAATAGCAACGTTTGCATTAAACAACTAAACTAAATCCAATTTCAAACGAAACATTAAAAAGTGTTCTCTCTAAATGTAATCCTCAACTTCTTCACTGGATCTTGTTTATAAGGCCGACATTGACCGTCAGCCGATACAATGGATTCTGATTGCCCAAGCGATCTCGCGGGATCAAAATAGCCTTTCACTCTAAGCTTCATTTGCTCTACACAAGACAAAATTCACTAGACAGCTGTTTCGTTCTTGATGAATCTCATCAGTTAAGCTTAAATGTCTCTGCTCCTGACCGGACTCTTTGGTGTGAACTTCATAGTCCCCGCCGAAGAGAGTGTTAATTCATTAGCTATAATTGTCTGGCATCAAGCATTCATTCATTTTCCGTTAACATTTAACTATTCAACATGTTTTATTTACTGGCTAAGAATCGACATTGAAACGCTTCCACGTGGCTGAATCTCATCAATAGCCTGAATTCCTCTCTTCTGTTGACTCACAGAGAAACAGTAGACGAAGCAATGACCGTAAGATATATTGTGTTTTTTCCAAGTCATTATCAGAATATTCCGATCTCACTAACCCTGTTTTCCTCTCTCGGCCCATCCCTACGTATATTACTTTACCGCCTTTCAGGAATGTATCACTACTGCGAGACTCGATCGTTTGAGAGTAGTCTGTTACGCGGATCGAGAAAAACCATGACAAATCAGCAACGAAACCGGATGCTAATCAATCACATCCTTCTCTGTTTGTTAACCGATGAAAATCAGCCACTGATGGGACTGCACTCGTTTGTGATGCCATTGCGCGCCAGTCACTTTCATGCGGATGAACTGAAAACCATTGTGATTTTGGGCAATCGAGCCTATTTGGCTCGTGAATGGCCCAGTATTGCGAATTTTCCCAACGTTTTCTGTCTCCCGGGAAGTCCTCTATCTCGCGCGGATCTACGCACTGCCCGTATTCGTTTCGCCTCCGTTTGTGTGATTCTCGGTTCTCGCGGGGAGGTTCAAACAGATGATCCGTACATGTTAGACAAAGAAGTTATTCTATGCTCACTCAATATACGTGGAATGCGTTTCCCACCGGTGAATTCCAAAACATTACAGGCCAAAGCTCCGATGCGTCGTCTGGGCACCGAGATCCCGTTAATAACGGAGCTTGTCACCGATGCGAACATTCACTATTTGGATCCCGAAGATGTGGACACCGGAGCGACCGATATACCGGCTTCACTCACCGCGGCGTTTGCCCGAGGTATTGCATTTACAACCTCTGTGCTCGATGTACTTGCCAGTACAGCCTATTTCAATTGTAACGCAATGACATTAATTCGTCATCTGATCACGGGTGGAGTGACTCCAGCATTGGAACAGTGGTTAGCCGAGGGGGGCGGATTAAATTGTTTTGATCGTTATGATGAAGAGCCCACAAGTAGTCAGAGTGAAGGTCAGACTGAAGCTTCGGCACCAATTAGTCGATTCAGAAGTCGAAGCAGTTGTCATTTGTTGCGGTCCGGTCAGGACGCAGGAATGCTTGAAACTAGACAACGACCTCGAATGGGACAATTGTCTGTGCTGGATGCACGCCTACGCCCTTTGGTGACCACAGACAATTACATATTTCCCACATTTGGTTCTTTGTTTTGTCACGCCATTCGAGAGCGGGGGATTTTGTGTTTGGGTATCTATCGAAGTGCTCATTCTGACTCTGGTGAATCAAATAGTGGATTTCGAAAGTTAACCAAAACAAGTTCCGTAGATGAGGCACTGCTAAGTGAACGCAACCGACTGAAAGTGAATAAACCGTGGAAAGAGAGACGTTTGAGCACATGTGCGCAGTCGATCGATCGGATGATTCGACGCTATTCCCTTCGAATGCATCGTGAAATGAGCCTGTGTCAACCGACTGCCTCAACTTCTCAACCCACACGTCAACCGGCATTTCTGGCACATTTTTCCGATGTTACTGATCGATACGTGATTACTAATCCACCGAATGATTTTCCGCTTAAACAATCCGATCTCGTTTTCTGTCTGTGTCCGTTTGAACAGCGGGAAACCGAAGAATCGTGAATCCTGTGTGTGTGTGTGTGTTCTGTGCATGTGCGATTCTTGTCCTCCTGTCGATTGTCTATTTTTGTTTTTGTCTCCTTTTCCTCCTGGGGACCTCCCCCCTACACGCACACGCACACACACACACACACACACACCCGTCATGTATTTCTTTTGTTCTGATCCTCTTTCTCCCTCTCTCTCGTTCTCTCAGAATTTCTGTCACAAAAGCATATCGATAGACAGTCTCTATCGTGATCTCGTGACGTGTGTTTTGTGCGTTCTCATTCATTTCCTCTCTCTCTCTCAGTTCTCATTTCTCTCGAACTATTCATTCTGGATCCCAACTTAAACGATCACTATTTTTGGCAATCTCTGTCTACTTGTGTGCTCACATTGATGTTTAACTTTTCTTCTTACCCTATCTACCCCTTTCT